CTACATAGCATTTCCTAAAACTGTTCTGTTTTATTAGAATATGGTTTAAATGGTGTTAGTGGGGAAAGACGTGTCCCCTTAGGGACTGTCAGAAAGAATCAAAAGCAGCTTAGCAAAGAGACAGAAATGTAAATGTGATCTTTATCAGGGGAAATGAGGGTATGATTAAATAAAATGAAACCAGCCTTTATGTCAGAAAATAACTTAATGAGGAAGTCATCCGTGAGGTCTTTCTGTCATCTTCTGAAAGATTAAGAGGCTGGACTGGCCAGGAATGGCCTTCACCAAAACTGAGGTAGGAAGAGTAGGTTGAGTTTATTTCTCAGGTCAGGTTCAACCTCCTGAAAGTCCAGCTGAATTAAAGTCTTCATTAAATTCATGAAAGCATACAGGAATCACAGCCTGGCCTCTTTTAACATCGCTGTCCTGGAATTGAGTGCAAGGTCTGTCTCTAGTTCTAAGGAAGGCAGGTCCCGAGGAGGTGACAGCTTCTAAGTCCACAGCTCCTGCTTGCCCTTTTGAGAGCTCCAGCTTATCTAGCAGGTCTTACCTGTTTCACATCTTTGGAGATAAAATATTCTGTAGCCTTCGTCTCCTCCCCTCAAACATGCACTAAATAAATACAAACTTTAAGTTAAAAATGTATTAGAAAGACTGTCTGTTTTATTGGAAAGCACTCTCAGATTCTAAGATGGATACCGATCGCTTGGGGGTCTTGTTCAAATGCAGACTTTGAGTCAGTGAGTTTGGAGTGGAGCCTGAGAGTCTACGTTTCCAGTAAACTCCCTGGGGCAGGGGATGGGTGACTGGTGTCACTGGTTGAGGGGTCATACTTTGAGAAGTGAGGATCTAAAAGTTCTGGCTTCTGACAACCTTGGTTTTCTCACTTGTAAAATGAAAGGCTTTGGATGAAGATGCCTTTTAAGTCAACCCATCTGCAGCATCTCAAGGCGCAGACAGCAGAGAAGGCTGGCGATGGTCCACAACGTGATCTCTGCTCTGAGTTTTCAAGGACTCCCCGTTTTATAACACTGCGAAGCTAAATAGGAAAAGTGAATGCAAACAGGGAAGGAAATACAGTTTATATTCTGACAATCCCAGAGTGATTACAATTACTCACCTGATGCCTTTGCCAACATTCAAAGGTTTGGCTTTAATTAGATCACACAATCCACAATTGAAGATTCTAATTGTGCAGTGTTTGTCTCAAGCTATTGGGTTGGATTAATTCTTTCCATAGTATGCCCAATGGAACAGTTCAATTTTCAATACAAATTAAGTGTAGTCACAAAAGATTACTACCTTTAGATCTTAAAAATATTTTTAAACAGAGTGCAATTAAATATACAGTTTGACGTGACATTTTTTATGCTAACCATGTCAGTCTGGGAGGAATTTAATACCACCTTGAAATCTTTCTTACCCTTCGGATTCTCCACTGATGTTTTCTTGTTAGTGAAATCTTCCCAGAAACCACGAGTGGCCAACTCCCGCCCCTTGGCTCCCATTTACATTGCTGTTGGGGTACACACAACATAGCTAGGCTTGAGCTCATTTTGTTTTGTGTCTCTCTGTGCCCTTCTCTGACTTATGAACTCCTTAAGCCATCCTGACAGAGTAGGAAGCAATGACTTGGAGCACAGGTACATGAGTTTACATTTCTGCGTGGTTCTGTCCTGATCATATGATCCCAGGAGGCCATGAATGTTTCACTGCCTTAGTTTTTGATAAGCCACTTTCCCCAGACTATAAATCCTACCCTCTCATGAGTCTGAAAGTTCAAATGCCTTCAGGGACAGGGTGGTAGGAGGAATGCAGAAAGCAGTGGATGGTGATAGTCTAGGGAGCAGTAGGGATCTTGGTTAACCTGCATTGCCCCAGGATCTCAGATCTTTAAACACAGCAGGGTTGAGCTCAAGCAGAAACTAACACCCAGCTACAGACCTTGCTGCACAAGCCGGGTGCGGTGGCTCACGCCTGTAATCCTAGCACTTTGGGAGGCTGAGGTGGGTGGATCACCTGAGGTCAGGAGTTCAAGACCAGCCTGGCCATCATGGTGAAACCCCCATCTTAAAAAAAAAAAATGACCTTGCTTCACATCACCTGGTTCCTGGTTTGCACATAACAGGGGTTCCCAAGTTGAGCTTGGTAGAAAGAACAGTGGCAATATTCAAAATAATTAATAACAAGGATAGCCAGGATAGCCAGGGGATCAAAATAACATGTTTATAGCTCTAAGCATTACCCTGTATCATCAGGTTTTAACTCTTCAGTTGCTGGATCAAGTCCAGGATTTCCCATTGAATGGGACCAGGGCAGTTGAGCCTGGTGCAATGGAATATCAGCCCTGAGAAACACCTCCAAGTCAGAGAAACATCATTTCACAACCCTGGCTAGCCACTCAGTATCTGTTAGATCAAGTTGAATAATCTCTCTGAGCCTCAGTTTCCTCATCTGTAAAATGGATTAATAATAGTCACTTTTCAGGACTGTGATGAGGATTAAGTGAACCAACATATGGAATGCTCCTCAAAGAGTGCCTGGCACAAACAGATGCTCACTCAGTGAAAGTAGTAGCAGGGGCTGTTTACTATTACCATTAAAAGATCATACGTGGTTATTGATTGAATGCAGACAGCTTGTCTCCGTGTTGCCCATGCTTTCTGTAGTCAGATAATTCAGGTGGACCACATGAGGTCTTAGTTTACTGTTGCCATCATGGTGGCTTACCACAGGGCTCTGGGGCTAAGGGGACGGGGGGCGGAGCAGTTCTGAAGGATGTAAGAAGGGGATGGGGGAAGCTTTGTTCCCAGGGCTGGAGCTTTAAGAAAGGCTCCCAAGTCTTTAGATCACAGCAGCCACAGGCCACTCCTGATCTATAAAAGCTCACTTTCTGATTTGTAGGCATTTTGAAGTACATAGATATTCTTATAAAGAAGCTTAGCTAGTGGTTATCTTCTGAGAGGCATGAGTGACAAACTTGAGCCTCTGATGCTATAAATAAGAGATCTGCTACATAGGCATTTCCCTGGGTGAATCCTTCTGCTTTTGGAATCCCTCATGCCGCACCGATACATTCTCTAAATTGTCTCCTGGACACGCACTGGCTCTCATGATATGAGTAATCTCTATTGAGAAGGATGATCTGTGCATAGTCAGCACCATAGTAAAGAGAAAAATATACCCTCCACACCCAAGCAAAGGTTGACCACCCCATTCTCTGTAGTACCCCAGTCTAAATAAAGACAGCTTTTATTTTGTCTTCTTTTACAATTGCTCACAACATTCACCATTCACTGTAGCTGAGTGTACTCAGCTATCTGCAAAACAGCATCCCTGCATTATTGATGTGAGGGTCATGAAACCTTGCCAAGAGTTTTTTTTCCATATTGCTTCATTAACTGTGTGTTTACCAAACTAGTTTTAGGGTAAATGTTTAAGATAGTTCCCAAACTAATCTAAAGCAAAAAACAAACTAGTGGTTTTTTTACATTTTTACTTAAATGCTGCAGAGTATCTTGAATGTGCCTTTGAAAATGATTCTTGGGTAAAGCATCAGAAAAAGTAGAAATAGAAACAGACGAAGTAGCAGTTTCCTTAGTGCCACTTCCAGATACAAAAAAACCTTCGTTTGATGGCCGGGCACGATGGCTCAAGCCTGTAATCCCAGCACTTTGGGAGGCCAAGGTGGGTGGATCACGAGGTCAAGAGATTGAGACCATCCTGGCCAACATGGCGAAACCCCGTCTCTACTAAAAATACAAAAAATTAGCTGGGCATGGTGGCACGTGCCTGTAATCCCAGCTACTCAGGAGGCTGAGGCAGGAGAATTGCCTGAACCCAGGAGGTGGAGGTTGCGGTGAGCCGAGATCGCGCCGTTGCACTCCAACCTGGGTAACAAGAGTGCAACTCTGTCTCAAAAAAAAAAAAACCTTAGTTTGTTATTTACACCATCTCCCCTAGACATTTTGCACCCTGGTACAAACCCTCTTGAACTAACATTTGCCACATGGAATATTATTCCATCCTGAGAAAGATTCTGGCAGGGCCTACGGCAGGTCTGCTTTTCTATTTTTTTGTTTTTATTCTTTTCACTTTTCCTTTTCCTCAGATAAAATGTGACCACATGGTTAATTCAGGTGAAAATTCTTAACCATCATTGGCGAAGGTCTGTTTTCTTTAGAAGAAAGTATATTAGAAAATTCAAGTATGTAATATATCAAGACAAGAGCAATATCTATCTGACTCTGGATTTTCCATTTGTTGCCCTTAGGGACCAAAGCCAACCATGATAAATTTATTATTTCCCATCATACTAAAGTCCTTTTCTTTCTTTCACCCCCTGACTCCAAGAAAGAGTCTTCTCTTACGGGCAAAGTTAGAAACTATTTTAAAATTAACTCGTGTAATCTCTAAATTCACCTTTCCTAACTCCCACAAAAGCAAGGGCTTCTAGGAGGGACCACGGAGTAAGAACCCATGGAGTCCTCTAGAGGGTTCTTGAGAGTCTGGCATTGGCCCAGGTCATTAGCTATAGGCACAGATTTGAAGCAGTCTGGAGGATCCACTGTGGCCTGGGAGCCCTTCACTTGGTCTCCCATCTTGGCCCTGTCATGGTGCTAGGCTGGTCATTTGGACCAAAGGTAACTTGACTGTGGGTCACATGCAAGGATGGCTCTGTATGGTGATTTCTCTTACCTGTCTGCTGTGTACCCATCCCCACAATAATGGACTGGAACGTGACCATTTGGTCTTCTTGTACATGCAATGGTAAAGGAAATGACTTCTCATCAGCCCATACAATTGGTCATGGCTGACGGTAGCCCACAGAGCTTACTCTTCAACTTGAAAGCAGATTACTGTGTCCTGAAGGTGATATTTTTAAAGGAAATTTTTCCCATGCAAAATGCTGAGTGTATTTTGTTCCTTGTTCTCTTGCTGTTACATGTGTCATTGACTCCCAATCTCTGATGTGTTTCTTTGTTTTCTGTGTGTTGCAGGCAGCATAGTGTACCTCGGGATGATGGTGGGGGCATTCTTCTGGGGAGGACTGGCAGACAAAGCGGGAAGGAAACAGTCTCTTCTGATTTGCATGTCTGTCAACGGATTCTTTGCCTTCCTTTCTTCATTTGTCCAAGGTTATGGCTTCTTTCTCTTCTGTCGCTTACTTTCTGGATTCGGGTAAGGTTTTCTCCTTCATATTTTATAGTAATGTGTTTATTCTTTGTAACTGAACACATTCTCCACTCTAGAGAACCTCATTAGCAGGAAATTATCCCTTCACATATCTCCTTCCATATCCTCATGTCAGCCCTAGAAGCCACAATGCCGGTTCTTAGAAATATAATTATCAACCTTTAAATCCAGGAGAGAAGGGAACGCACACCTGTATTTTCATAGCTGATTGTTTTAGTGTTTTCCTTCTAGAAGATGGGTATTGTTTTCAATGGAATGCCGTTTCTATGGTAGAACATATCCATACATATATGCTTCTGAAAATTTAACTTAAGCAGGAAATCGCTCTGGTCCTACCTGTTATGAATGAATTAAGGGTTTGAACCATTTGAGTGTGCTCTTACATTCAGGATTAGAGTGTCTCAAATAAATGCTGTTTTTTTATCTATGTTAAATTGGCATATTTAACTAGACAGAAAGCCTCCTTGAGACATAACTTTTAGTAAGTTCCTGACTTCTGTTGAATTAACAAAAGTTGTGCCATTACCCAGATGCAGTGGTATAGTGTAGCTGACGGTATAGTCATTTTCTTTAAAGCGCTTAAAACACTTATTACTATACTAATTGAATCCATAAGCATAGAAGAACCTAATAGCTCAATAAGGAATATATGAGAAACTTTGTTTCAATAAGAAAAACATTAGTAAAAATATAAGATTTTTGTAACAAATGGGTACTAGGCTTAATACCTGAGTGACAAAATAATCTGTACAACAAACCCCCATGACCCAAGTTTACCTATCTAACAAACCTGCACATGTACCCCTGAACTGAAAAGTTAAAAAAAAGAAAAAAATATATATGTATATATATATATATATAATTTTTGATTCATGATTGAGAACTTAGAGACATTTTTTGAAGATATCTAACATAAAATGAATCTGTACGAAAATATACAATTTTTAGAAATTAATGAAGAAAATGAGGAGAGCAGAGCTAGTTTATAAACTTTAAAAGCTATCAGCTGTGGTTGTTGGTGATACACCACCACAACCTACAAGGGAGAACACAGTTCTGTGAAAAGAGGTCAGAGGACTATAGCATGTCTTTCTTAATTATGTATAGTAGCATTTCCCATAGATCCTCATAGCTACATTCAGCACACAGTGAGCACTTAGCAATTACTGGACTAACTTGCACAAATTTTAGGAACTTTCCTTAGAGTGAAGACAGTGTATTTCAGTAAACCAAGATGGCTGGAGAGTTTGGAAAAGTATAAAGTATTTTGTTCTTGGAAAAAAATGTTCAGAATCAGTCATTTGCTTTGTAGCAATGGAGAAAGGGGAGAGGGGTTTTTTCTCCACAGGGAAGCCCCTTGGTGCTCAGTTCTTGTAAGACTGGATACATGAGCCACTGACTTGGATTTTGGATCATGTACTCACAGGGTTTCAGCAGACCTAAATGTTGAATGATTGAATGAATGAAGGAAGGAAGGACCAGATGTTATTTGGAGCTATTTGTTAAAGGACCTTCTCAGTGGGTAGGTTCATAGGATAAGACATTCTTGCTACCAAGAAAGGCCAGGCTTCCTTCTCCCTTTTATTATCGATGTAATACCACTAGCCTGTCAAGAGAAGACTAACAGCAGAGGTGCTGAATTTTCCAGTCCTTTCAGTTTGCAATCTTTTTTGGGAAATTTAAGCAATATCTAAAGACCCAAAAGTACCTGACTTTTGTCACATTATTGTGGCAATTTTAGTCACCAATCTGGGTTGTGACATGGTCATCCCAGCAGTCTGTAGAGAAAAGGTCCATTGTGGTGGCTTCAAAATATGCCAAACTAATGGACTGTCCAGAAGCGAATTTAAGGGCAACATAAAAGCAGAGACAACTTAGATATATTCTTGATACCCTCCTTATTCCTGCTGCAGACAAATCATTCTTCAACCAGCAGGTCAGGACTGCTGGGGGCTGGGAATCAAGAAGTCCAGGTGTGCCCTGCTCCTGCCCTTTATCATGGCATCTTGGGAAAGTCATGCAGGCTCTTCTGCCTGATTTTTCTTTTGTGAAAGATATTAGGACTTTGCATTCTTACCTTGGGGTGTGAAGGTCAAATGAGATGATGTTTTAAAAATACAAGGTAACAAAAGCCAAAATAGTCAAATGGGATCTAATTAAACTTAAGAACTTCGGCACAGCAAAAGAAACCATCATTAGAGTGAATTGGCAATCAACAGAATGGGAAAAAGTTTTTGCAATCTACCCATCTGACAAAGGGCTAATATCCAAAATCTACAAAGAACTAAAACAGATTTACAAGAAAAAAACCAACAAACCCATTCAAAAGTGGGCGAAGGATATGAACAGATACTTTTCAAAGGAAGACATATATGAGGCCAGCAAACATATGAAAAAATGCTCACCATCACTGGTCATTAGAGAAATGCAAATCAAAACTACATTAAGATACCATCTCACACCAGTTAGAATGGTAACCATTAAAAATTCTGGAGACAACAGATGCTGGAGAGGATGTGGAGAAATAGGAGCACTCTTACACTGTTGGTGGGAGTGTAAATTAGTTCAACTATTGTGGAAGATAGTGTGGTGATTCCTCAAGGACCTAGAAATAGAAATTCCATTTGATCCAGGAATTCCATTATTGGGTATATATCCAAAGGATTATAAATCATTCTGTTATAAAGACACATGCACACGTATGTTCATTGTAGCACTGTTTACAATAGCAAAGACCTGGAACCAACCCAGATGCCCATCGAGGATAGACTGGACAAGGAAAATGTGGCACATATACATCATGGAATACTATGCAGCCATAAAATGATGAGTTCGTGTCCTTTGTAGGGACATGGATGAATCTGGAAACCATCATTCTCAGCAAACTGACACAAGAGCAGAAAATCAAACACCACATGTTCTCATTCATAGGTGGGTGTTGAACAGTGAGAACACATGAACACAGGGAGGTGAACATCACACACTGGGGTCTGTTGTGGGGGACTAGGGGAGGGACAATGGGAGGTAAGGAGTTGGGGAGGGATAACATGGGGAGAAATGACAGTTATAGGTGATGGGGATGGAGGCAGCAAACCACATTGGCATGTATGTACCTATGCAACAATCCTGCATGTTCTGCATATGTGCCCCAGAACCTAAAGTGCAATTATATATATATGTATTTTTTTAAAAAAGGAAAAAAGTACAAGGTAGAGACGATAAATTAGGATAATGTTTAGAAACACTCACTCATAGTTTGGCATTTCTTATTTCCTTTATTTCTCCTCCTATATATTTAGCTAAGCTGTCCTGTGCTGACTGCCTCAGAGTGACAGCAGGGGAGGAGACAGAAAGGGACCCTGTTCTGGCTTTTAAATTTCAAATCTTGCCCATGCAAGAAACAGAAAGGCCTAAACAGGGACAAAAGATTTGGGAGAAAATATGGCAAGTAAAATGAAGCATAAGTCAAGTTAATCTCTGTAATAAGTGGTGAGTACCTGGGCTGGGGGCAGGGCTGAGAGGGAAGTCATGTGAGCTTAGTTACCTTAGTCCAGGTGGCAAAACCTCTACAGAGATTTGTGGGATCCAGTGGCTGAGAGGACTTGAGAAATGAAGTTATTAAGGAAAATGAGGGAAGAAATCTGTATTGGTCCGCATTCTCTAGAAAGACAGAACCAATGGGAAAGAATGGATAGATTAGATAGATAGGTAGATAGATAGGTAGGTAGATAGGAGAGGAGAGTAATTAAGGCAATGGCTCACACAATTATGGAGGCTGAAGAGTCCCATGGCAGGCTTTCCTGCAAGTTAGAAATGCTGAGATGCCAGTAGCATGGCTCAGTACAAGTTTGAAGGCCCCAGAACCAGAGAAGCTGATGATATAACTCTCATTCCAAGACTGAAGGCCTGAGAACTCAGGAGGCTGCCAGTGCAAGTCCCACAGTCCAAAGGCCAGAGACCCTGGAGATCTGTTGTCCAAGGACAGGAGAGGAAGGATGTCCCAGCTCCGAGAGAGAGAGAATTCGAATTTCCTCTGCCTTTTGTTCTCTGCAGGTTCCCAGCTGATTGGATGGTGCCCACCCACACTGAGGGCACACCTTCCCCACTCAGTTTACCAAATAGCATGCCAATCTCCTCTGGAAACACCCTCACACACACCCAAAAATAATGCTTTACTAGCTGCTAGACTTTGGGCGTTTGACCTTTCCAAATCTCAGGTTGATAGTTGATCCTTGGTGTTGGAGGTGGGGCCTGGTGGGAGGTTTTTAGTCATGGAGGTGGATCTATCATGAATAGATTAGTTCCCTGAGAACTGGTTGTTTAAAAGCAATCCTGGCACCTCCCAGCCCTGTCTTTTGCTTCCTCTCTCACTGCGTAATCTCTATACATGCCAGCTCCCCTTTGCCCTCTGCCCTGAGTGGAAGCCTCCTGAGGCCCTCACCAGATGCCCAATCTTCCAGCCAGCAGAACCATGGCAAAATAAACCGCTTTTCTTTATAAATTGCCCCACCTCAGGTATTCCTTTATAGTAACAAAATGGAGTAAGACACCAGCATCTAGGTATCCCTTAATCCAGCCAAGAACACATGAAATTGACCATTGCAGTTTCTCTTCACCAAAGTATACAGGCTATTTTACTGTTGCTTGCTTTGTGAAGTGCTACCTCCACAACCCAGGGTGTTTCTCAACAGCTCTAGAGTTTATCTGGGTACTCTGTCTCTGAATCTCTGAGGGGTCTCATCAAGTCTTTTTTCCTCCAATCCCATTTAACTCAAAAAACATTGTAATACTTACTCTGCCCACTGGAACCATGCAAGGCCTTTCATTCATATAGTGAAGTCCCACCTCAAGCTGCTTACAGTCTGTACAGACAGGTAGCTTCCAGTCCCCACCTTCCAAGAATTAGAGCCTGAAGTGAGGTCACAAGGGCTTGGGAATCTCACAGAGGAAGGAAAAAATAATAAAATTATGAATAAGAAAATTTC